CTGGACAGCTACCTAAGGGCAGGAATCAGGGGGCTGCACCAGACCAGGCAGATTCCTCCCTGACCCGAGCCCCGGGGTTGCAGGAGACCTCCCTGTGGGTTGGGTCTGGTCAACAGACGGGGCCTTCTGTTCCCCTCAGGAGGGAATCGCCTACTACGATTACCCTCCTTTTCTTCTTAATCGAGGAAGTTCTAAGGCGTTGGGGTGAGAGATAAGCCTTGGGCAACTCACCGGGTGGATCTTCATCTCCACCCACCTGGTCCTCCAGTCCCAAAGGCCCACACCTGCTACGCAAGGCAACTGGGAAGGTGAGGGAGATGAGTGGGAGGGTGTTTGTCTGCCCCTCTGACCAGAGACCTCTCTCCACTGCCCCTTGTCCCTTAGGTCCCCTCCTTTTGCTCCCTCTGGCTCCCCCCAGTTCAGAGCCAGGCTCAGGCACTCATCGCAGCCAGAGACCCGCACAGCTGCGTGTTTGCGCGGGAGCTCGGTCTGAGTTCCCATACTCTTTCTTCCTGTGGTTTTCGGCCATGTCATGACCACGATTGTTTCTCTCTCTGGAAGGGAACCAACCACTGATTGCTGCTTCACTCGCCCCGCCGGCTGCGGTAGCTCGCTGTTGCTGCCCGTGTGGTCATCGAGCTGCTTTGCCAGAAGGTCCCATTTAATGAAATGGACTGGCAAAAGTGGCATCTTTCTCACGTAGGAGAAAAGCTGAAAAAAACTGACATGAAGGGCAGTGACTACAGTGAGACAGTCTGTGAGTAGTGCAGCAATTATGCCAAAAATGCCCGAACGGCTAATGAGCATCTCCGGCTACTGGCATACTTGCCCTATGATGTATTTGGAAAGCAGAGGGAGACATGGGGTGCTGAGAGAGCTCTCAAACCTGTGGCCATCGCTCTTGGCAAGGCCAGACCAGAGGCTGCTTGGAGGGGTGATGGTGACTGTGTTATTTTCCATTTTTCTACTGAAAAAGAGTGTGTGGCAGCCAGGGACAAAGGCACGTCAACGGAGGAGCGTGCCCATGGGTGACAGCGTCCCCGTCATCAGGCAGCAACCTCGATCCACCTGCCTGAGGCTGTAAGACCTGTTGTGCTTGTGTGTGTGGTATTGAATCAAAAAAAAGTAATAAAGGAGAAAAAAATGTTCACCAGAAGCTTGCACAGCCCCCCTGGGAGTTTTTTTGGTATGTAGGAAACCCCCATGCATGTCAATTGCTGGCAAGGAGAGCTGCAGCCACCAGCAGCTTGTGTTGTGCTGCTGCGCCAGTTGCTTGGAAAAAGGAAAAGCAAAACAAAACCAACCAAACAAACAAGAAAAACCACAAAGAAAACAAACCAAAGAGAAAACTGCAACTGGGAGGGCTGCAGTGATCTCTGGCTTGGCCGGGGTTTCCAAGGCTACTGCAGGGTTGTGGCTGTGCTGCCGGCTGGGAGAGCTGCCTTTGGGTTGATTTTGCACGGTTTCTAGCATACGAGTTCGTTAAGACGTTCTTGGCAGCGTCTCGTGTGTTGGGCGGGGGATTGCTGAGTGAGCAGCGCGGTGGTTTTTTAACGCAAACCTTGCAGGTGAAGGGGCCGGACGATGCGAGCCTTTCTACAGAGCTCGGAGGGATGTTTTCAGCTGAACCCGTGGACCACGACGATAGGCAGGCACGAAGGGTCCGACATCGTCCTGCAGGTAAGCCCCTGGTGGTTTGGGTGGAGAGAGTAGGGTGCCCTGGCGTTGTCCCTGAAGAGTGCAGGAGCTGCCGGCATGCTTACACCAAGACGTGCAGCACGGGTCTGGGGGCGCTCGGCATCTCCGTAGCAAAACCTGAGGTGCTTTCGGGCCGGTTGCTGACCACCCGCCACCAGT